TACAGCAGAGTCCACACAAGTTCAGAGAGGGATAGTGTGTTGTCCACAGTTGCACACAGCACACACAGTATGTGGAAACATTGGGCCTCGTTTTCAAGGGGCTTCAACCTTCAGCTGGAGCAGAGTAGAAGCTGCCCTTTGTGAAGGTGTCTCCGCGTGGCCGGGCACCGCTGTTTCTACCTGGACCGCGGTGCTCCTCACCTTGGCTGGCTGGCTCCACAGGCACGTGCCTTTGCTGCTCCGGTCCATTGGGTGCCCCGTTCTCTGCACACTGGGTGCCTGGCCTGCCTTCCTGGAGGGGTTTGTGATCTGGGAAGGATGTTAGGCTCCCTGTGGGCCCACAGTGTCTCATTCTACTGTGTCACTTCTCCTATCTGGGCCACAAGACATCCTCCTTCAGGCCTGAGCAAGTGACCCAGGCACCATGTCCTTATAAGGGAAAATGGCAGAGTCTGGAATGCAGCTTAAATGTCCCCCAACCAGCCCATCCTGCAGGGTGGGGACCTGGGGGCTCAGGAGAGGCCTTCTGGAGGAGGCAGTCCTACAGGCAGTGATGGGGCACAGAGGTGCTGGGAGAAGACAGCCTGGAAGTGTACCTCAGGGTAATGACTGCAGCCTCGCACATACAGGGAACACGCATTTATTGAGCACCTACTATCTGCAGTGCCAGAAGCATCACAAGGTCCTCATGAGTCTTAGGACTCCTTCCCTCCACACTAGTAGAGAACGGTGGTTGACCAGTTGACTTTGGAACAGGACTGTGGGGTATAAATTATGGTTTCACCTCTTAGCAGCTGAGTGGCTTGGTTAAGGGACTTAACTCTCTGGGTCTCAGTTTCCTAAACTGAAAAACGGAAACAATAACAGCCCCTACCACAAAGGGTTGTACGTTGCTAGGATTCAATAAATTCATTTATAAACTGTTCAGATGCAAAGCAAGTGCTCAATAAATATTAACTATTATCACAATTATTCTCTTTTAAGAGGAGAAAACTGAGAGTGAGAGAAATGAGGTCACCTGCTTAAGGTCACACAGCTAGAGAGGGACAGAGCTGTGCTTTGAAGCCAGGTCCCCATTTGCCTAAAGACAGGAGGGGAGCTGGCGAGAAAGACGAAAGCCAATGATGGTTAGAGAAAAGTCTTCGCAGAAATCCAGTTGTCTCCCGTGGGTCCCCACCCTCTAAGAGGTGGGCTCAGGCTGCTCCTGGGACACCTAACTGTGGAAGGAAAGGGAAAGAGAAAGCTGAGCAGAGTTCTAGTCCCAGCACTGCCACTAATGAGCTGAATGGCTTCCCTGCACCTCAGTTTCCACCTCTGTGAAATGGGACTAATTCCATCTTCCTGTTATAGGACTATCAGGACTAGAGATGTTGCTTGGGAAAGGCCCGTTCTCTCCTCCCACACCTTCCACCCACTCCTGCCTACCCGAAGAGGATGAGGCAGCTTGCTCAAC